ACACACACACACACACACACACACACACACACACACACACACACCGACAACCTTATGCAGCTACCTATTCGACACATACATTTTTCTTGTTAATTATTTTCATTTATCAACCAACAACAAGCAACAACAATTACTACAAAACAACAGAGCAAACAGCAAACAAGCAACAAACATACAACTTGTCTCACCTGAATTTTTCTGAAGTCAACTGCAATGGAATTGCTGACAATAAACCTCTCCGTTGGACAGTGATATTTGTCGAAAGCAGCTGGTCTGAGCCCAGTGTCTTAAGATTGTTCACTCTCTTGATTTCGTAATACGGCTTTTCAAATTCCCCTGTGAGTTCATTTCGTGGTGTAATCTTCCACAACATGTATTCCATAACAACATTTACGTTTCTTAGATGCCTGTAGCTGACGGTGAATCTTGTCCCGTTGGATGTATTTTCCCTGCTTGCGCCGGCAAAGGTGATCGGATAAAGGGGTGCTGCATCTGTCTCCTCATCCTCTTTGTCCTGTAAAGTTTGGACCTGTCCGTCGATCCTTTCCACGTTGTTTTCCAGTCTGTCGAGTTTTGATTCAAGTTCCGCCAGCAATATTTCCTGTAGACCCAGACAATTTCGTATTGAGGGCAACCCTTTTCTTAAACCCAGTATCTTGCAACCCCAGAAAAACAAGGTGATAGTTCTGTTAAACTTGCTTTTATGATAGATTTGAGCTCAAAGTTTCACTCTTTGTATCTATGTTAAGTGAGGAACAAAAGCAGTATTGTTTTCATCCAAGAAAATAAAGGAGTAATAATTGTAACTTTTTCATAATATGATTATTATAGGAGTTAAATCCCCTCCCCCGCTCTTCCAATCACTCTAACTCCAAACACCGGAAAATCTGAAATGTTACATAATGGAAATGATCTACTCCTTTTGTTTTGGTAAGTGTTTTACTGCGCTTGCAACTGCATAAGGTCATATGAGCTCGTGATCTTCAAAGGAATGGTCTTAAAAACTTGCTCCCGCTCAATCTGAATTAGAATCTTGTCATTCTGAGGTTGTGATCTGCTTGTTTTCATTGTTATTCAAAGCCCTGTATTCAGGTTCTTTTTTGGCGCACATTGAAGACTTGAGTTCGATTCCTGAGTAGGAACAAAACTCCAGTATTTTAGTCTTCTATAAGTTTGTTAACGAATCAGACCGGGTTGGGCTGACAGGTATGGTCGACTGGCCTGCCTTCTGAAAAATGTATAATATTGTGTCAATGGGGACTAAAAAACCTCCCATAGATTACAATCAACAGTCATGTCCTTGTATACACTAAATGATAATCACCGAGGCAGGTTCGCTTGAATCAAATATCAAGCGTCCGTGTCTTATTCAAGTCTGCAATTAACAACAAAATGAGCTACTAGTAATGAGAAAAAGTAAATTCGAACATTGAAGAGGAAAAACTGCTAGAAATACCCCTTGAGAGTCGGGTCGAAGAATACAGCTATGAAAAATTTATATTTATTAAAAGAAAAGTATCATTACATAAGTGATTAAGAAAATGAAAATACTCACTGGTACTTTAGTGAAGTTTTAGTTAGAGTTTTACGGCACTTGCTATACAGACAGGTCATGTAAGTGCCTACGATTAGAGGTGTTACATGTGCTAGAGAGTAACATACACAGACAAGAAGAAGGAGAGAAACGGGCAATAAATAACAAACTTGATAGGACCGAAGGAGAAAAACCACACTATATCACCCGCCAATCACGCACTGATCACTGATGTAGCGACATATAACCAAAACCTTGTAGACGTTACCTTTCCTTTAAGGAAAAATGATCCGTCGGAGCCAAAGAAAAGCAGCGAACACCACACACAAATAACACTGAGGCGAAACATACTGGCAGTCATTTCGACAGTTCGCTGTCCAGAGATGTTTTTGTTCCTTTACTTTTACTTTAAAAAGTGGAAGAGACACAGCGTCTTTTATATAATCTTTCAGTTTTGAAATGGGCGTAAAACCTACACAATTTCGTAATAATTACAGAAACACTACAGTGTTATCACCAAGCCCAAAATTTGCGTCGGATTGTTGAAATCTGGTTCCCTAGACTTTGATATGCCAGCTTAGCTACGGCAAACAGATTTTAAGACTTCATAATAATATTTCGGACCGTTTGTTTAAGTAGTAATAGTAGCATCCTTGTTGTCACTGTATGGCGGATGCTCTATGGAGGAATAGGAGTGGTGAGGTTTAACCGAACGGAAATAACACTTTCCGCAAAGCAATTGAGAGTGTCATGACGTCAGCCCAGTTGGCCATTGCCATAAATTTGTATTACAGTATCCTAGATCGTGTTCTCTGACGTATTTCAAGTTTATCAAGGAGTTCTCCAAACTGTTATTCATGTTACCCAAATGAAGGATGTTTTTATTTTTTCATTAAAAAAATTGTGGGTTATTTTTGTTCTGTTTTGTTTTTCTTTTTTTTTGGGGGGGGTGGGGGGAGGTTGGGTGGTGCAACAGTGAGCACCTGACTATAGTGAGGCAGAAAGTATGTCCTTTCCTTTTATTTGGGAGTAACGACATGGAGCCCACACATCGCAACGAGGTTTTTATAGAGAGCAAAGAGGGGCAGCAATGACAGGGTGAGATCTAAGTCGAATGCGAGTCTATGACCTTCTCAATCTGTCTTCCAGCACCTCAAAATGAGACAACAGTCGGAAATTATCTTTAGTCCTATAGTAACGTGGTTATCGAGAACAACGCAGCCTTTTAGCTGTAATGGTTTACAAACCGTGCAACGAACACGTATGCACATCTTCTCGAACCCGCTCCAACGGCTAACTGTTCAAGACAACCACCTGTACAAATGACCACAACCCACAATACCCCTGGCATATTTTTTATGACCCAGTCTAGTACTCTCTAATGTTTTTTAAGACACTCACTTTTCTCTTCAAAAATGGGTAGCCGTCTTGGATAAGTTCAACAGCTCACTATATTCTTAACTAACCCACATACGCGTGAGCCTATCTGGGTGGTATGTATTATTCGTTTTTGTGTGATGAGCGTCTATCCAGTTTTGCAGTCATGGGGTCTCTCAGGACACAGCCCCACCTAAACATTGTGAGGATGGGTAAGTGGCTACGCTGTTCAGACAACAGGATGAAATGCACATAATGTTAGCCGACTGGAAAAGCGGATAAGTTGACTCACCTTCCCCTCCTCCCTCCCTACCCCCTCTCTTCCTCCCTCAAGATAGACCGCGGTGTCTGTGGTAAAGTGTTTAGGTGCTTCATCGTAGCGTACATAAGACACTAGTAGTGGTAGTAGTAGTAGTAGTAGTAGTAGTAGTAGTAGTAGTAGTAGTAGTAGTAGTAGAAGTAGTAGTAGTAGTGCTCACAGTGAATCAACCCTACAAACAATGATGGACCGCCTATCAACTGCATGCAAGGTCTTTAGCTTGGTCATCAGTGTTAAGAAAACAGTCATTCTTACGAAAAAAGGTGCAGAGCAGAGCCATATATGGCTGAACGACAAAGGACTTGAAACAGTGGACAAGTTCTGTTACCTGGGGTCTACCATCAGCTCAACTACATCACTTGATTATGAGATCAACATCAGGATAAGGAAAGAAGCAACAACTTTTGGAAGGCTGACAAAACGAGCATGGGAAAACAAAAGATTAACCATCAAAACAAAGATCAAGATTTACGAAACATTAGTCCTCAGCACACTCCTTCATGGATATGAAACATGAACCTTGTACAGCAGACAAGAAAAGTGCCTCTACATTTTTCATCTCAGATGCTGCCGCAAGATCTTAGGCATTTCGTGGCGTGACAAGGTTACAGATGTAGAAGTGTTGGCACGGGCAAACCCCCAGAGCATGACTACTATCCAGAGTTTAAAAAGATTGAGATGGCTGGGCCATGTCAAGAGAATGGACGACAACCGGATTCCGAAGCAAATTCTCTATGTAGAACTTGCCCTGGGAAAGAGACCGAGAGGACGACCAAAATTGCGGTATAAAGACACCTGCAAAAACAGCTTATCTAAGCTAGGAGTAGATGTTAGCATCTGGGAAGAAATAGCTGAGGACAGGAAAACATGGAGGAAAATGATAAAGGAAAGAACTATATTGCTAGAGAGCAGTCTTAGAAACAACGAGGCTGAGTAACGCCAACGACGAAAGCAAAACAGCGAAACACAGAGCTTCGACCTACGTCACTGACATGCAAGCACTGCGACAGAATCTTCGCTTCAAACATAGGACGAATTGCCCTTGAAAGAAGCTGCATGAAGACAACCTTAAGCAAAATTAACCGTCAGCATTGAAGAAAAGAGCTATATAGTAGTAGTAGTAGTAGTAGTAGTAGTAGTAGTAGTAGTAGTAGTAGTAGTAGCAGTAGTAGTAGTAGTAGTAGTAGTAGTAGTAGTAGTATTGGTAGCAGTAGTAGTAGTAGTAGTAGTAGTAGTAGTAGCAGTAGTAGTAGCAGTAGTAGTAGTGGTAGTAGTTTATTGACTTATTTCGATAACACTCTCCCATGGTGTTTCTAGGGGGAAAATCTCGGTATAAATCCTAATAAGTAGCCCCAACTAGCGTCTGTGGCATAGTAGTTCCGCGCTTCGTCGAGCGCAAGAGACTCAAGTTCGAGACCCGAGAATTTCTATCGAGTATTTCGGTCTTGCCGCTGGTATGTTGTATTTTCTCTCAGCCTTCTTGTGCCTTGATAAGAGTTGTCGAAACTCGACTCCTACAGGATCTGACTTTAGTCTAAGTGGACTTAAAAGCAACATTTTTTAAAATATTAAAGTGGCACAGTACGATGATCATCTTGTATTCCCGTCCTTGTCGTAGTCTTCAGCAACTGGGCTGAGTGTGTCCTGGCCTGTCGTGTCCTGACCTATCTTACGCACCAAACTAAACTAACACCAAGATTAATCCACCAGTACACCAGAGATGCCATCTGATGCAAAATGATCCACAGAAATAAAACAGAGACTTACAATGGCTAAGGCTGGTTTCAAATAAATGCGCCCAATCCTGAAAAATAGAAACTTCTCAATGACAACCAAAATAAAAGTTCTGAAATGCTATGTATGGCCAACCCTTCTATATGGCTGTGAAGGCTGGACAATCACTAAAGACAGTGATAATGAAATAGAAGCAGCAGAAATGTGGCTTCTTAGGAGACTGCTAAGAGTATCGTTGAAATAAAAGAAATAAAACGAGGTAGTGCTTCATGAAGCCCACGTGGGACGCTCTCTGTTAGAAACAATCAGGAAACGACAAATGCAGTTTTTCGGACACCTGAATGGAAATAAAGGTCTTGAACATCAAGCTCTCACTGGTAATATTGAAGGCACAAGAGGCAGAGACAGGCCCAGAACAACCTACTTAGGAAACCTAAACAAATAGATAACAGGGAAAGATCAGGGAAACGTAGGTTTTTTTAAGAGCATCTGAGCAAAGAAATGAATGGAGAACCATGATTGCTGATGTCTTTGGCAGATCTGGCACCGTTGATGATGATGACACCAGAGTATTCATCATCATCATCATCATCATCATCATCATCATCATCATCATCCGTCAGGCCCATTAAGGAAACAAAAAAAATCATCATCATCATGTTTCAAAGTAGAAAAAGATATACTTGAGACTTGGATATTTAATCATATGTTCGTAGAGCCCGGGTGTTCAACATCATCATCCTCCTCATCATCATCATCATCATCATCATCATCATCATCATCATCATCGTCATCATCATCATCAGTGTAAATCGCGGAAACTATTATTGAAAACAAACAAACAAACACAAAAACCAAACGATAAAAAAGTGACTCTTTTCGTTTTTCTGAACAAACTTACTCCAACAGAAACTACTGCAAATAGATCTAACACATACTTTTACGACTGACCAATATTCGGCACCAATTCAGGACACTGGACAAAAACCGAGGTGACTATTCTCAGCGACGACATTAAGTCGAGGCAAAATTGACAAAATTAATGGGATTAAATTTGAGGCATTTTGTAGCATGTTAGTCATTAAAGAAAAACACGCAGGGAGTATGGAGAAAAATAAAATTCAAGGGAAATTCACCTTTCATCTAAAAACGTTTGTTACATTTTCTTCCTTTCACTTTCCGTATATCTGCTGTTGCTATGGAAACGAAACTCCTGAACCGGAAGTCACTGTTACATAGGCAAACTCAAATATTGAATAATTTTGTTGTCTGTAAACCCAGCGGTACGTCCTCCAAAAATACAAAAGCATAACATTCACAGTTAAAGAAAAATCATTCTGCAAAGTCACAGATTAGCACAGGCAGTAAACCTGTCCAATAAACCTTAATTTTTTAAGAGTGCTGTCCTAAGCAGACACGCATAATTTGTCTTTGTTTTGTTAATCTCTGTGGGTAAGCTTAATATACTACTGGTACTTTTTATTAACTCCTTAAGAGCGTAGCAGACATGTATGTCCGATCAGCGGCAGACCAAAGGCAAAGTTGAAGCACATTTGCAACCGTGAGTAAAACACAAATTCTCATTTAATGAGAAACAGAAAGCTATATGTTTCACAATGCACTTTGTTACCTGCTGCTTTGAAGTTTTTGGAAAAAGAAACCAATTTTTAAAAGCACCTTTATGAATAACAAAGTCGTGTTGAAAATGTCCCAAACCATCACGTCTCCAAGACTTGCGGAATGACCAGAATGCACGCCACCAAGGGGTTAATTTACTGAGGACCTCCATTGTCGTAACTGACAACCATTGTAGACGTACTAATTTGGGTGTACTTTAAAAATGAAACATAAAATTGTTATTCCTACACAGATTTTACAATTTTTTTCTTCACTTGAAACTTAAAATGCAACACCATGCAAACGATATAATGTGCACATTTGTGTTTCTGATCAGTGCCTGGAGCTTTGAAATGTGCTTGCAACATTGTCTTAGCTTTAATGTTGATCGGACGTATCGCTACCCTAGAATTACAAAGTTCTATTTGTTCAGTACTTAGTAATGAGAAGTTAGAAGTAAAACATTTAGAGTTTCACTAAACGGTTAAGCTTTTCCGAATGCAATTTTTTGAGTATCTTGATAACGACTCTGAAAAAAAGAGCAGATAGAAAATTAATTGGTTTCTGACCTCATGCTTTTAGTAACTCAAAACTGCAAAAAATGCCAGATAGAACTTTGTAATACACTTCGACCTTAAAGTGTTAATCAAGCGTCGTCATTGTCTGAGCCTTCGCCGTACTGCACTTGCGCGTCTTCGGTGATGACATACACAGCGCGCACCTCTGTAGATGCGACTGGACCAGTAGCATCCCAAGCTCGGCAAACCCCATAGAGATCAATATCCCGGCCATAGTCATTTTCATACAGGTACACATGCTTCTCCGTGACATTGTTTTCTTTCACGACTGTTACATTGAGAACAGAAGGACTGTCAATTATTACATTGTCTTTGGTGACGTACAACAATGCATGAACGGTGGGTAGAGGGTGAGCCATTATTGTGCACACAAGTACGATGAGGCTTTCATTCAGTTGAATATAGCTGTCTGTTTCATTAAACTTTGCTGTTTCCTTATATACGATGGTTGCTGTCCTGGATAAAATTTCATATTTGTTTGAGGGGACGACCATGCACGTAATGTTATCTTCTTTAACTCCAGAGAGTATATCTGGAACGTTCATTTTAGCCACATACGTCACACTTGTCAAGGACTCTTCATATGTCTCAGGACGCAGAACTCCCTCGGGATCTTCGACATTTGACCTGATCATTCTTCGTGCTTGAAAACCACGCCCGTAGAACTTGCACGTGACGTTGCATGTGTCGCTGAAATACTCACAACCTGAAGTAGATAGTGTTATTCTCTGCACACCATCGGGGTACGGTTCTGAGAGATCTCCTGGACGTACCTCAATGACTTTCGAGAGCCGTACATTGGTCACTACTTGACCATGCTCTTCCTTGTTTGAGCTGATAGTAGTCATGCCAATTGGTTGGAGCTTAGAGTTCATCACAATGGCGGCATCCAAAGAGTTCCAATATTCCTTTTTCACAAATGAAGAGCACATTGCAAATCGGTTCTCATGTCTCACATCGCATCTTCTTTCTGAGATTTCGCTTTCATCTTCAGCTTCGCTCTCGTATTGAATATTCAGGCTCATACTGGAGAGCGCTTCGTGACGCATGGGTCCTTGAACCTTAACCTCTATCACAGGATCCTCTTTCCCCCAGTACAGCAGTGGGTTAGGGCTGATCACAGCAAACTGGTAGACGGGGATTCTGTGCTGGTGAAGGCTTTTGGTGTTGAGATTGTCCAGGGACAATCTCGCCTCATAACTGAAGACACAAGAAAGCACAATATTAATTTATTATTATTTTTGTTTGTAAAAATACCAGTAAATACACAATTTTTAAATGATCTGTTTTCATTAACGAAAAGATACCATAATTTCTTCTTTTTTTTTTCATTATGGGAAACACAGAAAATACCCCCTTTCCTCTTAATCTCGTCCATTTGTTGGAAGTACGTATGCATAAGAATGTCTCCTAATGCGCGACGCATTTGCTAGCGATGAATCGCGAGGTGTGTATCCTTAAATTATGCACGACCACATCACACACCGCAAATACACGTGGTGCCGACCGGTACTCTATGGCTATGTAGTTTGACCAATACCTTGATACCTGGATAACTGGAGGTGTCATCTTTGACTCTTAGGTTGATGTATAATGACCATCCATCCTTTCAGGTCGCATGCTGCCATTGCATATTCCGCGATAATATCCAGGCCAGTCAATGATCGTATGATGTCTATCCATGTTATTCTTTGTCCTCCCCTGGCTCATCTACCCCACATCTTTCCATCGAGCACCTCTTCCTTAAGCGACGGTCGTGCGCGTCTTGACGTCGCGTTGCGTGCAAGGAGACGGTTCTTTATCATCTTACTTGACGGATTTTGGAGCGGCAATGACCGCGCGCTACGCGACGTCATGTTGCGCATAAGGAGACATAATTATTATTATCATTATTATTATTAACATCATCTTCAGTATCATTATTGCTACTGTTGTTATATTATTAATCATTTTTTAATCACTATCATTATTATCATTATTATTATCATCATCATCATCATCATCATCATCATCATCATAGCTGCTCCCATGTCCACCTCTACTGAGCTTGCTTCTGGAGCTGTTAAGTATGTTGGGTTTGTTCTTTAAAACTTTCTCTAGGAAAAAACCCCAGGACAATTCGATAAAAGGGTCACCTCTCGAGACGACAGTGCACGACATAAAGCAGACGACAAAGAATGGATACGTCATTCAGCAAAAACGAAATACAGCTACAAAAAATATTCCCAACAAAAGCAACGAAAACGATATAATGTCACATTCTCCTTATAAATTAACCCTTTTCATTTCTTGTGATTGTGCATTGCCGCAATTCCTTTATGT